CTCTCACACACACACACACCCTGTTATCACACACACACACACTCACACCCTCCCTGTTGTCATCTCACGCAAACACACAACCTCCCTGTGATTCTCTCACACACACACCTCCCCCCCCTTTTCATCTCTCACACACACACACACACACACACCTCCCTATGATACTCTCTCTCTCTCTCTCACACACACACCCTCCCTGTTGTCATCTCTCTCTCTCACACACGCACCATCCCTGTTGTCATCTCTCTCACACACACACACGCACCATCCCTGTTGTCATCTCTCACACACACACACACACACCTCCCTATGATACTCTCTCTCTCTCTCTCACACACACACCCTCCCTGTTGTCATCACATACACACACCCTCCCTATGATTCTCTCTCTCTCTCTCACACACACACACCCTCACTGTTGTCATCACACACTCACACACACACACACCTCCCTGTGATTCTTTCTCTCTCACACACACCTCCTCCGTTGTCATCTCTGTCTCTCACACACACACACACACACACACACACACACCTTGTGATTCTCTCTCTCTCAAGCACACACCCTCCCTGTGCTCATCTCTCACACACACACAACCTCCCTGTTGTCATCACATACACACATACACACACACACACACACCTCCCTCTCCCTGTGATTTTCTCTCACACAGACACACCCTCCCTGTTGTCATCACACACTCAGACACACCCTCCCTGTTGTCATCACATACACACATACACACACGCACACACCTCCCTGTGATTCTTTCTCTCTCTCACACACACACCCCTTCCCTGTTGTCATCTCACACACACACACGCACAGAAAATCTCCCTGTTATCATGCACACATACACACACACAACCTCCCTGTTATCACGTACACACACAACCTCCCTGTTGTCATCACGTACACACACACACACAACCTCCCTGTGGTCATCACGTACACACACACACACACCCTCCCTGTTATCTCTCTCTCTCTCTCTCTCTCTCACGCACACACGCACACACACACACACACACACATCCTCTCTGTTATCATCACATACACACACACACACACAACCTCCCTGTTGTCATCACATATACATATACACACACCTCCCTGTGATACTCTTTCTCTGTCTCTCTCTCTCACACACACTCTCTCTGTTGTCATCTCACACACACACACTCCTTGATGTCATCTCTCTCACACACACAACCTCCCTGTTGTCATCACATACACACACACACACACAGCCTCCCTGTGATTCTCTCTCTCTCTCACATGCAAACACACACACACACACCCTCCCTGTCGTCATCTCTCATGCACACACATACCTCCCTGTTGTCATCTCTGTCACTAACACCCTCTCTGTTGTCATCTCACACACGCACACCCTCCCTGTTGTCATCTTTCTCTCACACACACACACACCTCCCTGTGATACCCTCTCACGCACACACCTTCCCTGTTGTCATCTCTTACACGCACACACCCTTCCTGTTGTCATCACACACACGCACACAACCTCCCTGTGATTGTCTGTCACACACACCCCCACTCCTTGTCATCACACACACACTCTCCGTGTTGTGATCTCTCTCTCACACACACACACCTCCCTGTTGTCATCTCACGCACACACACACCCTGCCTGTTTTCATCTCTCACACACGCACACACAACCTCCCTGTCATTCTCTCTCTCTCCCACACCCCCCCTCCCTGTTGTCATCTTTCTCTCTCTCACACACACACACCTCCCTGTGATACACTCTCTCTCTCACACGCACACACCCTCCCTGTTGTCCTCTCTCACACGCACACACCCTCCCTGTTGTCCCCTCTCACACGCACACAACCTCCGTTGTCATCTCACACACACCCTCCCTGTTGTCATCTCACACACACGGCTGTTGTCATTTCTCTCTCTCTCTCACACACGGCTGTTGTCATTTCTCTTTCTCTCTCTCTCCCATACACACAGCTGTTGTCGTTTCTCTCTCGCACGCACACACGGCTGTTGTCGTTTCTCTCTCGAGTCCCCGTCGGTGGGATATGAGCGCCTCTCTCAGGGCCTGGCTGTCTTCTGGAAATCCCAGGGGAGCGGCCAGGGTGGGCTGTTTTGCCAAAGGAGGGGAAAACCTGGAGGCAGCGCGACATGGAGAGCAGCCACTGTCCCAACTCAGTCGAGATTCCCCCGACAGAGAGGCTGGAGGGGGTGGGGTCGGTAAAGAGACGGGCGGTGCCCTCCGGGGCCCGTTCCATCCTCTGACTTCTCCCGCGGGCTCCCTTGCAGGTGCTGGAGCAGGTGAGCTCGGATCTGGAGCGGTTTGGAGCCCGTGTGACGGCCGAGATTGACGCTCTAGGGCGGGAGTGCGAGTTGAACCCTCCCGCGCTGCAGCCCTACGACGCCTGGGGGCGTCGCGTGGACCGCATCATCACGTGCCCCGCCTGGAAGAGGATGAAGATGATCGCGGCGGAGGAGGGGCTGGTGGCTGAAGCCTACGAGAGGGGGCCGTGGTCACCGACTGGTCGATCGCGATCGATGGGTTGATTGGGAGGGATCAACCAGTCGATCGCGAGACGTTCGGCTCCCCCCCACCCTCAAGAAGCCCCCACTGAGACTACCTCCAGTGACAAAGGAGGTAGCGCCAGCTTCCTGTGGGGTGGGGTGGGGGCAGTCCCAAAGCTGTGCACCACTTGTGGGGTTTCAGGATGTGCGCATGCTGCTCCTCCCTCCCCCAGACACCTGGAGCCATACCTGAAAGGCCAGGTCTGTGGCATGCTGGGAACTTCCTTCTACCTGCTGGCTTCCTGTGGGGGGGAAGGAGTCCTGGAAGGAAGTGTGCACCAGGGACTCCCTGTCCCAGTACCCACCAGCACCCTGCCTCCTGCCCCCACCAGCACTCTGCCTCAGCACCCTGTCCCCTGCTTTAGC